CCTTGAGTGAGCTCCTTCATGTTCGCTTTGCAGCTGAGCACAGGGCCACTGCCCAGCCCTGCCATTTGCCTAGGAGTCCCAGGAGGTGGCCTGGGACTGACGCTGTCTCCTCACACAGACGAGACTGTGCTACTCAGTATTTTGGAGGTTCAGAAAAGCACGTGGAGTTCGCCTGAGGACATCGGAAGGAGCGGGGATGGGAGCTCGGTCCCAAAGGTGCCAGGCCGAGTGCTGCAGGAGCTTTGGAAGTCTCCTGGGTACCTCACCCAACAAGGGCACCGAGGGAGCTTGGCAGGGGCTGTGCCAATGGTATAGAGCAATTACAGATCCTGGGGACCTCGGGTACTGACAGATTCTATACCCTGTCTTGCTCACACTGCCGCCCTCTGTGAAACCGGATAAAAGGGGATGCGGCGGGGTTGGAAAAGTGGGGCTCAGAGGCTTTTGAGCAAGCTAAGATGCTGGTGGGGCAGGCTGAATAGCTACGCTCCCCAGGCCCCATGCTTATCTGTCCCGGAGGTGCCAGGAGCCCTGAGAGCCCCTGCCGGGCGCTGCAGAGGAAGCAGACTGAGCAGACAGTTGCTGCAGAGGTCCAGAAAGGGTTGGAAGTCTGGAGCCTAAAGGAGGCAGAGCCAACCCGCCCCGCACCAGATGCCACGCAGGCTGCTCAGAGCCAGTGCCTCTCCAAGCTCCCGAGCCACTCCCAGCGCTGAAGCCAGGGCTAAGGCAGATAAAGCGCCGGAGGGGACACTGCTCGTCCCTGAGGATGCTGGGACACCTGTGGCCCTGGTCGGGCCCAGAGCAGGAATGGGTGGCAGTGTGGATGGTGGTGACTCACGGGAAGTGGCCCCTGGGGTAGGTGGCTGCAGGAGCAGCTGGGCAGCCCGAGCACATAGACCCAGTGGTGGCACAGTGGGAAGGGACTGGCAGGTGCCGGGTGCCCAGGTGTGTGAGGCTGCTCCCAACCACGGCCTGGAGGAGGACTGAGCAGGTGCAGCAGCCATCATGCCAAGGACAAGACTAGTGGGTGGACGACCCCATCCCACGGGTGTGAGCCAGGGCTATGGACGTGCACTCCCTGGACTCAGCTTGGCCTTGTGTGTGGTGCCACAGAGCTGACGGTGACAGAGACACTGAGTTCACCAACGCTGACAAGCAGCACTGGGCTGAGGACAATCAAGTACAAGGTACTGTCACTTGCCTTACCACCCTGCAGGAGCTGGCTCAACTGAAAAGAGGCTGATTTATTTACTTTTGAAACAAGGTCTTGCTATGCAGACCAGGCTGGCCTCAAACTTGTGTTGATCCTCCTGCCTCAGCCTCCCGAATGTTGATGATACAAGCACTTTACCCCATAAAAGGGCACTTAACTGTTAAAGCAGCAGTTAAGGTAGGCGAAAGCAGAAATTACAAACATCTGTGGACTTCCCACTAGACAATCTTGATTTGTCACAGAATGTTACCGGCAAAGAATCTGAAGGAGGACAAATTGTTCCCATTTTCAAATCACTATGGCAGGCTGGATGGAGGCTGCCACACTGCTTGCTGTAAAAACATAGGGAGACAGCAGTGGTTTAAGTTTGGGGATCATGAAGTTTCTGTTTCTTCTGTGAAGTCATTAGAAGTGTATATTCTCTTTTATATTTCACTAGGACCACAAGCTGCTGACTTGGCCACATAAGGCCATGAGCTAGAGGGTCTCAAAAGCTCAACCACACAAAGAACTCCTGAACCTGCTCACAAGGTAACAGGAAGCCAGGCAGACCGTGTAGAGGATTCTAGGCCCAGGAGCTGTTACTAGACTTTTTTTTTTTTGGTACTGGGGATCAAACTCGGGTCCTTGCGCTTGCCAGGCAGGTGGTGGAACCACTGAGCTAAATCCCCAGCCCTAGACTCTGTCTTCCAGGCCAGTGCCGTTACCAGAACTGACAAGAAACATTAGCCAGTACTGCAGTAAGCATTCCTTACAGGTACCAGTTATTTCAAAACAACTTTATTTTAGTCTGCTCCAAAGTTAAAATAGTTAACTAGCAAAGCATTATTATACTAGAGGTAGAAGAACCGCGGTAAGCTTTATTTTCCTTTTCACTGTTATGGCCTTTTCACATTTCTAACTCCAGCTTGATCTGCAAGGGAGAAGAAAAAAAAGCAGCAGTTAAAAGGCTTACCTCGAAGGCGCCCCCTGTGGATAGAAGCGGTACGTGCAACCCGAAGGCAGTTGAATGAAAATCGAGGGGAGGCGAGCTCGACCGCCCTCCCTGCTGGCTGGCGTGTATACCACCAGAAGGCGCTGTGCAGGCCGCCGGGGCAGATGCATCATCAAAGATCCTGGGGAGCTATGGGCATCACCTCTCGCATGCCCCAGGCAGGATGCAGCAGTGCCACGGGTGGGCTGGGTGCGACCAGCCACTTTCTGATGGGACCTGAGGCCTGCTCCAAGGCAGGGGACCCCATTTGGAGCTGCAAGCCAGGACAGAAGTCCATGGCTGGGTCGTCGGCCCCCATAGGATCCAGTTTTGTGAAACACAGACATGGCCATCTGAACGTTTGTGTCTGTGCTCATAGGTGATCGCAGCTACCCACCACAGCAGGTTTTGAGACCCTCCTGCCTCAGCCTCCCCAGTGCTGGAATTACAGGTGTGCACCAGAATGTACTCCACTGCTGTTCATGCCATTCTAGGAGCGAGTCTGTCACCACAGCCTGGATTGTTGCTGTGGCCTCACACAGAAAATCCCCTCCCAGGAGCAGGGTGTGCTGGGAATCGGGGCGGGAAGTGTAAGAGCAGAAGTGTGGAGTGCGGGGGCACTGTCCTCTGAATCTGGGCCACATGCACAGCAAGGCCACCGTCACCTGAGGCCCGCAGAACTTCCAGTAAGGATGGCACAGGAGTGGACAGGACTGTCACCTTCTGGCTCTCAGTCCTGCTTCTGTGGCTCAGGGTCCCAGACAACCAGTCAAGCTGGGCCCGTCTGTTTGGAGTCAGCCCCTTTGTGTCACAAGCAGGTGGCTTGCATTTTCGTAAAGGACTGGTGTAGTCACAGAAGACAGAGCTGATGCTCATGTTTTCATGGTGGCATCATGGGGCCTTTTGCTTACTTGTATCTGCAGATTTTCGTAGTATTTTTTGAAATGAAATAATAGATGACATTACAGAGACCCCCCGTGCCCCCAAGGAGGAATAAGGTAACAGATGCCGAGACAGAAACCGCGCAGCTGGGATCAGAAGACTGAGTGTGGACTGAGTCTCAAGTTCCTGTGTGTCCAGGGTCAAGACACCAGGAAGAGCCACAGGGTCCCCTGCACCCTTGGACCGAGGCGTGGTCCCATGGCCAGGGTGGGGCCTTAGCCTGGCCTGCACCTTCCCAACCCTGTCTGGTGCAGGCCTGGGGAGCCAAGCACAGCCAGTCAGTGGGCTCCCGCCCATGCATTCAGCGAGGTCTAATGAGCCCCGCAGCAGCGCTACAGTCAGCTTGCTACTCCACAGCTAGAACTAAGGCTGGCAGGTGGCGTGGTGGCCCACACCTGTAATCCCAGCACATGGGAGGTTGGGGCAGGAGCGTTGCTGGGAGTTCAGGGCCAGCCTGGGCTACAGTCAAACCAAACCCAAAGGATGAGAGAAAGGCAGACCCTCCATCCTGAGTCTATGCTGTGCGGCCTGCTCACCAGGCCTGGTGAGGCTCCCTGTCAAGCATGAGGCCCAGTGCGCCTGCTCTGTGCACTCTGGGTGCTGGCACAGGCCCACCTGTCGCAGGTGATCCCAGAAGCCTGGAGCCAGGGAGGTAGGTGGCTGCTGGCCAGGCCGGGCCTAGGTATGGTGATACCAGTCGCAGGGCACCTGCCACCTCCGCTGGAAGTTGGGGTCTCCCTGCAGCTGTGTGGACCACGACCCCGCCTCTGCCGCGTTCCTCCCCAGAGCCACCTGAGCGAATGAGAACGACAGCACAGCCAGGTACAGTTCCGAGGTTGGCATGTTTTTTGGTTTCTTTTTTTTTTTTCTTTTTTGCTTTTATAAAGAAAAATAAGGTTGTGTTTTCTGTTGGGAACAAAGCATGACTAAAAGCCCCTCCGGGGCACTCAGAGTGCTGGGCCACCAGTGCAGCCAGAGCTTCCTGAGGGCCGCAGACGAAGATGGAGTTTGGTTTCCTCAGGTGAGAAACAAAAGTAGAAACCCAGACACACCCGCTGTACCAAGGGGATCGTGAGGTGCCACCTGCGTGTTGGAACTCACCCTGGCAGGGGGACTTGGGGTCCAGCACCGCCGCCCCGTGCCCTGCGGGACAGGAACTGACAGCACCCATGCTCGAGGAGGTGCCCTGCTGCTGGTCAGGCAGCGCCTCGCTCGGCAGAAGTGTAGAAAAATAAAATAAACTTTATCCCTGAATGACAGTGAAGACCCCTTTTCTGGTCCACGCCCACCCTCCCACGAGCCCCGAGTTCACCGGGTGCAAGCGCCAGGCGCCGAGGCAGGCACGAGAGGTCCAAGCCCCACAGTGCCCGGCCAGGGCCAGACAGGTCTAGTGTCCTCCAGAGTTGGGGTGGGGACAAATGTCCAGTATCAAGGGGTCAAGGGGGGTGGGAGGCAGTTGGTTGAAGAGGCCTGGGGGAGCCAAGTAGGGGAGACAGTGGAGTCTGAGGGGTCGAGGGCTGGGAGGGGTCCAGTGTCATCCGAGGTCGCAGCTCGCATGGAGCCAGGGGCCACCAGTCCCAAGGGAGGGGTGCACTTGGCAGGAGGGAAGTGGGTCCTGAAGCCACAGGAAGGGGCAGGGCGGGGTGGTGACACCACCTGAAGGGGCCACTGAGGACCTCCCCGCCCCTGGCTCTCTCCTCTTGGTGGGGCATGCAGGTGGCCTGGTGCCGGGGTTCAATCCGAAGAGGTGGCCTCATGGCAGCAGGGACCCCGGCAGGCAGCCTATCCCGGAATCTCTGGCCTCAGCATGGAGGTGTCAGCACCAAATGTGACGGGCGTCAGCCAAGGCCGCAGTGGGTGAAAAGCGGGATCCTGAGAGGGGCTCGGGGGCCCTGGAGACGGAGGGTCCCGTGGCAGTGGTGACAGGCTCGGCCCCGGACACCGCCCTTGGGCACCAGGCGCTCAGCGCAGGTTCTGGTACAGGTAGGCTGAGGTGAAGACAGCATTGGCAGCCAAGCTCACGGCCAGGAGGCCCTGGATCAGGGAGGGGCCGAGGCGCCCTGTGGAGGACACAGCCCGTCAGAGGTGTGGCGGGGCCGCCAGGGAGCAGAGTGGCGGGCTCTGCTCCACACCCATCTCCCGACCCAGGGCTTCCTCCATGACACTTGTTTCACACATGAGGAAACTGGGATTGGGGTGATGACCCAGCCCAGGTCTTGGAGTTAAGCAGCAGGGACTTTTCTCTCCACAGCCTCATGGTCACCAGGCCACAGCACAGGTCCATCCCCGTCTCCTGCTGGGGATGGGAACTGGCGCCACTCATTGAGGGGGCCACGGAGGGCCGGACCTGAACACAGCTCAATACCCTGCACAGGCCTGAGGACCAGCAGTACGCCCAGACCCGTGTCCCTTGGCACTGGGCAGCCACATGCAGCTGAGCACCTGAAATGTGGCTGGGGCTGTGAGGAGCTGAGCTCTTAACCTGAAGGGTGTGAGGCCAGCAAACTCCAAAGAGCCACGGCGGCCACAGGCTCCTGCGATGCTCGCTGCGGGTTTGGGGCTTGGGCCCTGGTCCCGGGGCCAGGACGGCCATCGGGGACCCTCCAATTCCTTCCTGGGTCACAGACCCCACAGCGGCAGCCCTTCTTGCACGGCCCACTTGGGGTACAGACCCTTCCAGGCGGCGGCCTTCTCCGAGAACCCGCGGGTGGTGGTGTCCACCACACACGTGGACGCCTGGGATGAGTCGTCCTCCTTCTTGATGAAGCGGCTGCCGCAGGCGCTGCCACTCCCCGGGGTCACGCGCACATCTGCAGGGAGAGGGCGTGGTCTCAGGGCACCAACCTGCTCGGCACAGGGCCAGGTCCTCCATGAGCCCTGGCTGCTCGGTTGCCCTGGGGGAGGCAACAGGACAGGAGGGGCAGCTCTGGGGACGTGGAGCTTCGACTGCCCCATCCTCTGCCTGGCCAGCATCCAGCCAAAGGTGGCCAGATCATCTGATGCCATTAGAGACAGGAAGTCTACACTTCAGTGAGGAAGAGCAGGAGTCGTGGTGCACGTCTGTGATCTCAGCACTTGGGAGGCTGAGGCAGGAGGATTGCTGAGTTTGGGGCCAGCCTGGGCTATATAATGAGTTCAAGGCCAGCCTGCACTACACAGTGAGACTCTCTGTCTTAAAAAAAAAAATCTGCTGGGGATTTAGCTCAGTGGGGCAGCTGCCTCTCGAGCACAAGGTCCTGAGTCCAATCCCTGGTATCAAGAAAAAAAAAAAAAAAAAAAAGATCTGTGACAAAGTCTTAGATGTTAAAGCCAGGAGCCCAATTAAAAGTCTTAAACATCTGTGAGCATTTGAGCCAAGCTAAAACATTTGTGACCAGCAGCCTGGTCGTAATGATGTGTTTTTGTTTTTGTTTTTGAGACAGGGTCTCACTATATAGTTGAGATTGACCTGGAACTCACTATGTAGCTCAGGTTGGTCTCAAACTTGCAGTGATCCTCCTGCCTCGGCCTCCTGAGTGCTGGGATTACAGGTGTGCGCCACCACATCCAGCCTGTAATGATGTGTTTTTATTTTATTTTTATGTTTTGGTACCAGGGATTGAACTTGGGTCCTTGCGCTGAGCTAAATCCCCAGCCCAATGATGTGCTTTTAATGGATCCCTGAGAATGGAGAATCCTGGTTTAAGAGAAAAAGATAAATCAGCCGGGAGACAGCACCGTCCCGGAGGTGCCCAGGTCGCCAGAGCCACACAGGGCATTCAGAGCCGGATGGTGAGTGAGGCCCCCACCCTGCTCACCGGGGCTGTGCTTGGTGTCTCTGTCGGGAATGGGCTGCCTCTCGGGTGGCAGGGGTGGCTCCAGGGTGAAGAGGCCGCCACTGTGTGGTGAGCGCTCCTCCGAGCTGCTGGGGGTGCCAGGCAGCTCCCCGGGACTGGCGGGGAACAGCAGCAGCTTCTGCCCCTTCAGGTTGAGCCGCGCAGGGCTGATGAGGGGCCTGCGGTGACGTAGGGAGCCATAGCTGGAGGCCACTGAGCTGGCCACAGAGGGCGCTGGGGACGGCAGAGGGGAGGACAGGTGGCGGCCCGACAGCAGAGAGAAGTAATCTGCAGGGAGGGTGACAGAAGGGCGCGACACTGACATGGAGAGCCTGGCTGGGGCCTGGGCTCAGGGGGAGGAGGTCACAGAGCGTCCCCCTCCAGCCTCAGCTGACTGAGCCGCCACTGCCCAAAGCTGGTTCCACCTGCAGATCTAATAACTACCCACTGCAGAGGAAACTGAGGCACAGGGTCTGGTGCCGTGTGCAGCTAGTGTCTGAGCATGGGCCCCATGCGGCGCCGCCAGCCCTCCTGTGGGCTCTCACACTCCTTACCTGAAAGGGGAACCTCCTGGGGGCGAGATGCCCGGGATGGTGGGCGGCTCCCACTGAACAGGTACCCAGAGTCTGGACAGAAAGAAAGCAATGCAGGTCAGGACCCGGGACTGAGAGCCACCTGCCACCTCCTGGCCGCCTCCCCGGTGCTTCTCTGGAACACAGGCGCGGACTGAGCCTCCGCCGCACCTGTCCCTCTTGGGCAGAGTGGCTGGGAAACTCCTCGGCACTGGCCCACGTCTCTGGCTGCTCATTCTGTGCTCTTCCCGCAGAAGGACAGAGGGAGCCTCCTGCAGCACTGTCCCCAGTCATTCCCAGCTCCTGCAAGGGCCCCCATGGGGCACTGAACACGCTGCCACCCGCTGATCTGCGTTCTCCCAGTGCCAGCTGAGAGCTGCGTGTGGAAAGTTCCGGGTGTGGGGGCCAGGGCACCTGCCGCCCTCCTGACCAGCTCCTTACCTGGGGATGGGCCACAGCCGCAGGCAGAGCCACAGGGACAGACACCCTGGGCTTGTGCCACGTGGCCTTACCTACCATGGTGGTCCCAAGCCTGGGCCACGCTTGAGCCAGCCTGGGGGCTCGGGAACGCCCTGTGGTGGCAGAGGACCGGTATGGCCACTGGCCACCTGCAACCCAGCTGTTTGGTGAGGCAGGATGACCAGAACTCAGGTCTCTGCCCTAAGGGTGGGCCCATCTGGAGGCCTCCAACTGTCACCAGCTCTAACTATCACTATCAGCTCGAACGGCCTCTGTGTCCTGGAGGGCACTCACACACGGAGTCCCGGATGAGTCACTTAAGAAAACGGGATTCGGGGCCGTGCAGAGTTGAACCCCGACCGGAGCAGTTGCTGTGAGGCCTCAGTAGAGAACCTGGGCTGATCAAGAGGTACCCACTCTCTGCCCTGAAGCCCCACATCCGGTGAGCCGGCCGCCACTGACACGTGCCAGGGAGGAAGCGGTCACCACAGGCACGCCAGGGCCCCAGGCAGTCTGCAAACTGGATTCAAGCAGAGTGTGTTGGTGCATATCTGTAATCCTAGTACCCTGCGAGGCTGAAGCAGAAGGATTCCAAGTTGGAGCCCAGCCCGGGCAACTTACGCAATTGAGCAGAGCCTGCCCGGGGAGGCACACCTCCCAGTCCTGGTCCCGGTCAGTATAGTGTGGTTAAGAATGGAAGGAAAGCCTGAGACCCACCAAGAACTCTGGGCGCCTGTGGCCTTCAGAGCCCTTGGAATCCATCACCTCATGGGGCCCTCACTGCCCCACCAGGGGCCCTCTCCTTCCACTGCCCTCTGAAAGGTGACGGGCTGCATGGCCGAGTCCCTTGGCCTGGGCAGCAGGAATAGGCAACCAGGCGCTGAGCAGGAAGGCTAAACATTGAGCAGCACCGCACCAGCTCAGCCTACCATTGTCTATGCTGCCGCCGTCCCTCTGCCTCTTACCTGCTCGAGTCAGAGAGGGGATGGTGCCCAGCGAGAGGGCCCGGCTAAGGCGGCCTGGCAGCGAGGAGGGTGAGGCCCGTCGGGGAGACCGGAACAGCTGCTGGCTGCTGAGTGGCAGGAAGCCAGGCGGGCTGGGCACAAACAGGGCCGGCGAAGAGCCTGGGACACTCGGGCTGGGCACAGCCAGGCGGGGGCCGGCGGGAAAGAAGCCTACGGCGTCTCCCGGAAAGCACCTGCGGGCGCCCATTGGGCATGGAGAGAGCAATGGGTGAGCCTCGGGTCCAGGGTTTGCCTGGCACAGCAGGGCCCGGCCCCGGCTCGGGGTGGAGGGCCCAGAGTCAGTGTCCCAAGGAGGCGTGTGTTAGTGGAAGCAGGAAAGCAGTCGTCCATTCGCCATTAGGAGCGGGTGGCTGGGGTGCCAGCGTGACCAGTCCGCCCTGCATGCCCCTCCGGCTCACAGCAAACTACCTCCACTAGGGGCCTCGCATTAAAGTGGCACTGTCACCCTTGCCAACCTTGCGCTGTGCTACCCCTCGCCCCACTGCAATGAGGTGCGGTGGACTTGGGCTCTGCTTTGCCACTTCCTGTCTGTACCCAGAGCCTCCCACGGGGCAGCAGGGCTCAATGATGCCCTGGGAGGCCCTTGCTGGGCACACAGCTCCATGGAGTCGCCCTGGTGCCCTGCCTGGGAGGAGGCAGCCAGGCCGAGGATCCCCACAGGATGTACCGGACTCACACTTGGAAAAGCCCCAGAAATGACCACGAGGATGCCCGAAAGACAGAGGTGACAGTGTCTCTTTAACCCGAGAAGGTATAAATCACACAAGGGAACCAGTGGTTCCAGGCCAGATGTCAACCATGCTTCCGATTAGGGCACCCGATCACGGGGGGCAGAGACAGTTAATACATTAGTCTGCCGTCTGGACGGAGCTCCCGGCGTCCAGCCTTACCTCGGTCCCAAGGGACAAATGGACACTGCTGACGGAGGGGCGGGCAGGCTCAGGCCCCAGTGCCCGGACCATCACACCACAGTGCTGGGGGCCACTGGCCACAATGGGCACTGCCACCTTCCCAGGCATTTTCTACCCCGTCCCGTTAAAGGAATTTTGCAAGGAAGGCGTGGACTTCTGGTAGAATCACGTGACCTTCCCAATCTCTTGCCAAGTGCCAGAAGGGCCACCAAAGGCGAGGCTCGGTCTCTGGGGAAATGGAGGCAGAGTGACTCCACAGAGGGGCCTCGTCAACTGGGCCCCAGGCTTCTAGGGAGGGATCTGCCTCCAGCCAGGAAGCGGTCTGGGGCCATGCGCCAGAACATCTGAAATCAAACCTAAACCAAAACCAACAAGGTGTGTGTGTTCTCATTTTGGGACTCGAACACCATCTGGCAGGAAAGCAGGAGGCAGCGTGGGGATGGACACCTGAGGCACCACGGGGGCAGGGGCCTGGCTGGTATCATGGGTTTGCTTGGCTGTGCCTGGGCCTCTGTGGGACATCAGTGGCCATGGCAGCAGGTGCGGGCCCCAGAGCGGGCACAGGCCCAGGCCCCTCAGCAGGTGGCAATAGGACTCTGCCACCGAACCCCAGGGACAAATGGTTAGGGGCTGCCCCCCCATCTCCAGCCTGAGAATCCAGCCACTTGGCACAGGGACTGTTCCTGACTGGTGCCACTGAGAGTGGGGGCACTGTGGGAATGAAGGTCACCGGGGAGGCGTACGCACTCCTGCAGCGACACCAGGTGACACCACTGCACCTCCTGCATCCTCAGGCGCCATCCTGCTCCGGCCAGAAGCCTGCAGAGCCTGAGGCCTGAGCCTGCGCGCCCCCAGAGGCGAGTGGTGACTGGCACTGTGGCCCGGGACTGTCAGTCCACCCAGGGAGCTGTGTCTCCTTCTGCCCAGCCAGCACCATCAGGGGCCAGGAAAGACAAGTTTTACGACACAGAAAACATGGCCAAGCTGGGTGAGGACAGCTGGGCCTCTGAACCCCTAGGAATCCCTGTCACCAGCTCCCTACCTGGGCCCCTGTGGGCACAGGGGCACCCCAAAGCCCAACCCCACCACCCAGCCTGGGCACAGAGGCACTTCTGAAGAAACTACAGAAAAAAGAAAAACGCCGTGGTACCTGACGCCAACCGGAAGTAGCAGGGCCCAGAGGCATTTATTGAAAACACAGCATTCAGAATAGGACGACTAGGGCTAGGGTGGAGGTTACAGCGTTAGGGGTCACTAGACAATCCACGTTCTACTACAAGAGGACAGGGGCCGAATAGGACAGGGCGGGGCGGCGGGGGCGGTCCTGGTCAGTCCAGAGGGCCTGCTTGGCCTGGGATGGGGCCCGTGCCCCACAGGCTGCCGGAGGCTGAGTCCACCCGCCTGACCCCTGCAGGGCGGCAACCCTTTCCCCGTAGGACCCCGCTGTGGCCTGGGACAGCTGTCCCTCGTCAGCAAGGCCACCTCAGGGTGCCTGCACTTCCTCTAATGAGATTTTAAGAGGCAAACAATTAATTTTTAAAAATCACAGAACACTATTAAAAAAAAGGTCAGGAATCCTTACTGACATGCCTTCGCAGACCCGCCAGAGGGCAGGAGAGACATCGCCTAGAAGGGGATCCTGGCCAGCCAGAGAGCTGGCTCCGGCTAATATAAATAATTTAACTTAAATATAAACACACACACAGATGTCCTGCTCTGACCCAATGCCAAAACGCAGAATTAGCATCACACTGCCGGCTTCCTAAGAACAGGAGACTCACGGTTATGCAAGAGCACACACGGCTGGCAGACCAGTGCCCGCCTCCTCCTCTGCCCGTTTAGGCTGCTTTTCAGGGTGCAGGATGGGTAAGTCGCCGACACCCTCAGGCACACACAGCTGCCGGGGCAGCTGTGGCTCCCGCACCCCAATGCCCCCACGCTGAGCTGAGGCTGTGGCCTCATCCACGTTTTGGGGTGGTTTCTTGTCTCACCCCACATGGGACAAGCTGAGCCTAGCGAGGCCTGGGCCTGGCTGAGCCTCACAGAAGCCCCAGTCCCCTCACACAACAGGGCAGGGGTTGCTGCCTCACCGTGCAGGTGCAAGAGCAGGTGGCCTCTTAGGGCCCTGAACCTAACAGGTCCACCACAGCAAGGCCGGCCACCGCCACCTGCCTACCTGTGCCCTCAGCCTACGGGGGCCGGTGGCTTCTGCTGGACGTGGCTCACACAGATGTGACCAGCTCTGTCCTCCCTGGACTCTGACACAGGGGAGCCACACTGGGAGCAGGTAACAGGGTCACCAGGGAGGAGTGCGCAGGACACTCAGTGGCCACCAGAGGGCAGTGTGCCAGGGGCACTGCAAGGCCGTGGGGAACATTGATGGAGCACCTGGGGACACCACAGGGAGAGAACTTCCTCTACACGTGGATGGCACCTCAACTCCAGGACACGTCCCTGCGCACTGCCTCATGTGACCCTCGGGTCCCAGCCAGGACCACATGGCCAGTGAGGAGCACGTCTGGCCCTTTCACTGGGGTGGCAACCTTGGGGGACCATATCCCCAGGAGGCCCCGTCTTAGAGATGAAGACGACAAGAGGCCTGGAGGGCTGTGGCACCTCAGGGAAACACAAGGCACCCTCCACGAGCTGTTGCAAGGAGGCCAGCGACAGGTGACAAGGACCTGGTGTCACGCAGCCACTGTATCCCTTGGGCACCTGACCTGTGCTTCTCCCAGGCTGAGTCCTGTGTGTCCGCAGTGGGTGCCTCCCCACCACAGCCTGGCTGCCGGAGGAACCTGCTGTCCCCAAGTGCTGCACACTCTTGGGCTACGCCAGGCAGGGCCCAAGGGCCATGCTGTCCCTTTGGGAAGGAGGCTGGGAACCTTAGCCTGGGGACTGTCCCAGAGCAGGAGCTGGGTCAGGACCTCAAGAGGCAGCCTGGCTGCAATCAGGACCAGAGACACCAGGCGCACGGTCCTGGGTGGGGACAGCTGGTGGTTCTGCTCTGGCCCTTGTGCATCCTGCCAAGTGGGCCGGCCCTGCCAAGCAGCCCAGTGGTCAGGCCATGCTGCACGGTCCCTGTGCCAAGAGCTCAGGAGGAAGCTGGGGTCAGAGGCAAGCTGTGTGGGTGCCACCTGCATTCAGAGCATGGGGCTGAGAAAGGATTTTGGGCCAGAGAGGCGGCAGCAGCGGTGAGTGGCTAGGGGTACCTGGGGAGCACCTCAGACTGGAGCTGGCTTGGTGGGAGAAGGGGGACATGGGGGCCGGGCCAGGCCCCAGGCTCTAGCTGGGATGAAAGCAAGTAAGAAAAGACAAGGCTGAGGGGCACTGCCTCCGGGTGGCCGAGTCCCGGACCTGTCCATCCGTCTGTCCTCCCCCCGCAGTCACTGCTGCTGCTCTGACCTTCGGGGCCGGAACCTCCGAGGGCCCGTCACCTTCCTTGTGGCCACAGTTGCTGTGAAGCCCACTAGGCAGCACAGAGACATCGTGCTGAGCTTGAGTGTGTCCAGCCAGCTGGGCGAGGCCACCTGCAGGTACTGCTCGGCCAGGTGCAGCCCCAGCAGCAGGGCCCACAGGCAGGCAGAGAAGGCGTCGATCCTGCGGAGCCTGTGGGAGACAGCAGCATGGTAAGAGAGGGCCTGGGGAGGGGACAGGACCCAGCCCCGCCACTTCTGTCCACCTGGCCCCATGGTATGTGGACGCTGCATGGACACGGGAGAAGCCAGGCCCCAGAGTACCACTGACAGGAGGTCAGCATCACCTGACTTTACAAATGGGGGCTTGAGGTGGAGGAGGGAGGCCCGCAGGGAGCAGGTGCTGGGATGGCTCGGTGCCCTGGGCCCAGAGAACAGGGACAAGGCCTTCTGGGCTCTACAATACTTCGGCCCAGGGTTGGGCACAGCAAGGCCTCCCAGCTCCGACCCTGGCCACCTGTGTGCAGACCCTGCCCAAGTCCCGGCCCCACACACACCTGATGCGGCCGGCCAGCAGCATGGCCAGCAGGCAGGTGAGCAGGCCCAAGACCACTATGCTCATCTGGTGGCTCTGCCCGAAGGCCCAGGCCTCGAGCAGCGTCTCTGTGGTATGCTCTGGCAGCAGGTCCAGTAGCTGCCGCCAGCCCTTGGTCCCTGGGGCAGTGCCGTTGTCTGGGGTGGCCGAGCTGTTGCTGCCAGGTGGCAGGGCTGGGGGCAGGGCAACCCCCAGGGTGAAAGGGTTGCTGGGCCCGTACAGTGCTGTCATCAGCAGGAAGGCGCAGGCCAGGAAGGCTAGGGCCCGGAGCAGGACAACCTGGACTGGGGCCTTCATCACACAGGAGCTGAAGCTCTGGGGAAGCAGGGGAGGGAGGGAGGGAGACAGGTTAGGTCGGTGCCACAGAGCTGCCCACGGCACCCTGCACCCACTCTGGGTGGGTGCCGGCCAGGACCCCACAGCACCCAGCCTGGTCCCCACACCCCTCTTACTTCTGTGCCTGTCTCCCTGCTCTCCACCCCCACCCTGCGATGACCTTGTTCAGTCACTGTGCCAAGTCCTCACCAGGAGTCCCCACTGCACTTTTAACTAAACTGTAATTAACATGTGGGTGACTTTGGCAAGTTAAATTAAAAAGCAAAAACAGCTGGGCGTGGTGGCGCACACCTGTAATCTCAGCACTCAGGAGGCTGAGGCAGGAGGACCGTTGTGAGTTCGAGACCAACCTGGGCTACGCAGTGAGTTCCAGTTCAGTCTCAACTACATAGTAAGACCTTGTCTCAAAAAAACCAAAAAAGAAAAAAAAAAAGAAAAACAAAACAAAACAAAAACAAAAAACATAAAATACAGCAAGGAGGCTCCTCAGTCCAGGACCCAGGAGGCTGGAATGAGAACCCAGGTCTGAGAACAGGGTCCATCTGGTGTGTGCTGTGCAGACAGAGAAGCCCCTGGCTTATTAAACGATCAGAGAATATTGCACTAACTAGGCACTGTGATGGAAGTTAGTGTTTCAGCCAGATGCTCCTGGGCCCCAAACCTGCACCAGGTGCAGGGTTCTACCAAGCCTCTTGGCCTCCCAGTTTGGTTTCTACAGCTGTGTACGGGCATCGCAGTGCCTGAGAGCACAGCATGAAGGCCGTCATGAGGGTCAGGAGCAGCTCAGGCTGCAGCAACCTGCACATGGTGACGCTGGTCACTGTCCTTAGGAGCACACCCATCCCCACACCTGGGCCTGGTCTGCCTCCCGGCGCCGGAATTGGTGGCTGAGCAGCAGGGCACGCAGCTGGCGGTTCTGGTGCTTGATGTAGTACTCAACGGCCACCTGGCATGGCCGGCACAGCTTGTACATCTGCTCCAGGTGGTGGCGGTACACCTCGATCTCCTCGTCGTACTTGCCCTGCTTGCGTGGGGACAGAGGTTCAGATCCAGGCCCTGGCACTCACACGGGGTGACAAATGGGGAGTCCCCTAGCTCTGAACTGCTCCCTAGGCCCCACCACTGAGATGGTGATATGGACCCAGAGATTGAGGGCCAGCACCGGGCAGGGTCCACTGGGGACAGTGACACTCACAGTCTTGCTGCTGGGGGGACACAGCTCGAGGCTAAGACTCGGGTATGCTCCCTGCCCACTGGCTCTGGGCTCCTGGATAGTGGCTGGGCTGCGGGGAGGTGGCAGACAGCTCAGGACTGGAGCCCTTCCTTTCCCTTGAGCCAGGTCTAAAACTAGAGGACCACTGTCTGGGCCTTGGTGGGAGCCGAAGGGTTCTATGGGCTTCGGGACAGATCAGAAGCCATGTTCATCCCAGCTCGCCCACAGACACAGCAATGCACCTTCACTGCCTGTCTGTAGAGGCCAGGACGGTCATCAGCGTGATCTCTGTGGGGACTGTGTGAGCCAGGGAAGCCTGCTACCAACTCCTGCCTTCTTCCCTTCTGCAGACACCCAGGCTCCCTAGCAGGACCGGGAAAGCCAGTGTCCCTGCTCCTCTGCTGGGATCTGCCACTTGAGGTCTGGGGGTGTCAGGGACAGGCAGGACGAGCAGCCAGGTAACCAGGTGCCAGGGTCCCGTAGTGGACCCAGGGGAAGAAGCTCCCAGCTCAGCCCAGCTCCTCATTGGGCAGGGTGCTTGGCACCACCTGCTTCCTTCCTTCCACTGCAAGAGCCAAGAAGTCCCCAGTACCAATGGGCAGAACGGATTCGAGGAATGAGGACACGACGGGTCCCACAGCTCCCTCTGCCCAGGATAAACCCCTCTGCCCTGGCAGGCCTGGGATTTCTGCGGGGTTCCTAGGCTGGGCTCCAGACACGGGAGAACCGGAGAGGGGAGTAGCCCTGCACGGCGGTACGGGGGTGGGCGCACCTCCTCCCTGGGTGTGAAGGCGGCCAGCTGCTTGATCTTGGTGGTCTGGTGGTGGTTACACTTGCGGCACAGCAGCACCTGGCTGCTCACCCACTGGTGCGGCTGCGCGGGGTCGTGGGGGCTGGGCATGCCGCTCACCACGTGGTTCAGGTGCTCCAGGTACTGGGCAGGGATGGGCTTGTTATAGTCACCGTTCTGTGGAGGGGGAGGCATCCTGGTCAGCAGGGAGCCCCTTCCCGATCCAGCCTAGGCCCTCCTCCCTCGCCCCCAGGTCACCCTGGCACCGTCCCCAGGACCTGTGGCTCTCAGGTCTGTGCAAACTGCGGCCTGAGGAGCCTGCCTGTTTTGCAGTAGTTTGTCTGAAAGCAGAGTCCTCCTCAGTGCTAGGCTGGCTATGGGTCGAGTAGGGGAGCAGGTGACAGTGACCACATGGCAGTCACAGCTTCCACTATGGCCGCCTGGGTCTGGGCGCGCCCCGCAGTGGCTGCTGGGAGCAGGGATAGGGTCAACATCACCTCCTGGAAGCCGTTGTACTGCTCGCAGTGGGGACAGTCCCAGCAGTTGCGGTTTCCATAGGGTACCTGCGTGTCCTGGTTGCAGAACCAGCAGTTGACCACTGTGTGTGTCGGCTTCGCTCTGTGGACGGAGGACAGTGATGTCAGCCCAGAAGACTCCAATTCTCATGAGATGTGAGGCCCCGGACCCAAGCCACCAAGGAAGGGGTGCAGGATGGTCAGAGGAGGAGACAACAGCTCTGAGCAGAGGGATGCAGACCGGTGCTGCTTCGTCCTCCAAGGGAGGTGGCCAGACACTCACCACATCCAGAGCACAAATGTGGGGACCCAGGGCCACCAGCCCCCAACGTCCTGGGGTTCAGGCCCAGCAGTGGAAACATCACCCCCCTGAGGGCTCTGGCTGGATGGGCACTGCCGGGCTTCCCAGGAAACAAATCAGGAAGCAGGAGAAGCTGCAGGGCAGGACTAGCGACAGCTGTGACAGTGGGCCTCGCTGGCCACACATGCAGTGACAGGTGGGGGCTGCAGGGTAATCCAACCCAGACACTGGGGACCTGTGCTTCACCCCTTGCAGGCCTTGCTGGCAGGGGCACTACGGGGCAGTGGGGAGGCGCAGCAACTGGTCGACAAAGCCCTCCAGTCTGGCAGTACGGGACCAATGCGGGAAGGGTGGCAGCTGCTCAAGCCCTTCAGTCCTGGTCCTGCCGTTCCCCTGCCCTCCCTGCAGGCCGGCTCCAGCTCAGGGCACTGCCTGGGCCCAAGCAGCACGGGCAGCTGACCCCCGACAGCCAGGGCCTTGGCGCTGCCAACTTTGGCATGTGTGACCCAGGAAGTTCCCACCTCCTAGCCTGGGCAGCCCTGCCTGCAAAGTGGGTGCCACAGTGCCCACGGCTTCCACCTGTTTCAAGGATGCAATGACACAGGTCACAGAGCACTTCACGATGCAAAGGGCCAGCTCTGTCACCACCCCGTCCAGGTCTCATCGGTGGCCTGGGATACCACGCAGTGCCGGGGGAGCTGGGCTCCAGCTCCTGTCACTGACACTAATGCCAATGGCCACCTGGCCTTGGTGGGTGGATTAAGGGAATTCTGTCACCTGTCGATGGGTACAAGAGCTCCTCCCTTGCAGGGTCATGTCTGAGGGAAGCAACTGATGGTGCCTGGTCTACAGGAACGCCAGATGTCCGTGAACCATAGTGACCTGGGGCGGGGAGGCCAGGGCAGAGGAGAGGAAATAGGTCCAGCAGAAAGGGCGGAGGATGCCCCTGCTCAAAGCCCTTGCGAGAACCCCACACAATGACATCTTAACAGCTTGGGGCGGCAGGCAAGGCCTGAAGACAGAACCCTGGGGAGGGAGGCTTCCAGGGAGGGTCAACTGCAGGCCTCCTCCTGCATCTGCATTTCATTCCCTCACCAGAGAGGCTGTGGGGAGCACCCACCAAGGGCTGAGCCCAGTGGGCAGCCAGGACTCGCCTGGACAGCTCCGCTGGGCACCACCACCCATGGCTGGGCATCCATGCTCTGGGGTGGTATGCCCATTTGGTGTTTGGCATTCCAGGGCAATTAAGCATTTAGTTTCTGTTAATTTGCACCTGCTTCACAGGCCGCTGTAATTGTGCACAGAGGCAGGTCCTGACAGCTGGTGACCAAGCAGTGTCCTCAAGCCTCTCCTCTGAGTGATGGCTCTGCCACCCCACCAGGGCCCCCAGCCCTGGTCTGTCTGGAGGGGAGGCCATTCCCCACGCCGGCTCTGGGGACCACTGACAGATGAGCAGCTCCCTGGCTGCCGCCTAGGGAGCCCGCCATGAAGCCCCTCCTGTCCCAGGAAGCCATGGTTTCCACTCTGATCTCCAGCTCTGTTGCTAAGGAAATGGATCCTTGTCTCCCAGAGCCTGGCCTGGAAGTGGAAGGCGGGGATTATCTCATGTCCCCGGGACCAGCAAGGGTGCTCCCATGTGGCCAGAGCAGCTGGCACCCACCCTGGCCAGGTGGGGTCTCTGGCAGCAGTCATCTTTTCCAGGGGCAGCCCTGCGAGGAGGAGCGTGGAGCAAGGGACAGCTGAGGGTTGCCTCTGGGACTTGTGTTTCCAGGGCAGACCAGGCAGGCCTCGCCTGAGGGCCCGGCTCCTCCAGCTTGATGTGGGCACAGCCCTCCGGCCCTGCTTTTGCTCAGGGAAATGCCCCCGGGCTCTTCTCATCTGCCCCTGGCCCAGTTCTCTCCCTCAGGCTAGCCTGTCTACAACTTGGCTCTGGGATGAGTCATACTTGGCGGGCAAGGTCTGAGGTGATGAGAAAGGTACACAGGTGACATGGGTGCCCAAGAAGACAGCCCTGGAGAGGCCAGCTTGGGTGGTGCTGGTCCAGACCAGGCAGGACAGCAGCTTGACCCCTGTCCGGAGCCAAGACCATGTCCAGGAGGCAGAGTGGGGCCCCTGGGAAAGGCAGACGTTGATGCCGACCTTTTGGGATGCCATAATGGGCGGCTGCAGGCTCGGTACCCACAGCCAGGAGTGCTCAAACAGACAGACGTGTAACTCTGACCACGCACCACGCCAGAGGCCACTAACAGAGCCTGCGGGCAGCTTGCCTCTCCCTGCACGGACAGGGATTCATCAGGGGGAGCACCTAGTGCTGTGCCACACAGGATGGACTCCATGCCAATGAGGCTTGGGAGCTGCCCGGGGGAGCTGTGTGCCCACCAGTCCCCATGGAGTGCCTGGCCCCCCCAAAGACCACTCCTGAAAGTCAGCTGGGTTCCCTTGAGACCCAGAAAGCAGTGGCCTCACAGATGGTGCCTCCCCTGTTTTTCAAGTGTTAGTGGGCAGCACCGGCCAGCTCATCCCCACCCCAGGCAAAACCCATGGAGGCTTCCGTGGCTTCCATGACTGTGGCACCAAACTGCACATCAGCAATGCCAGGACCCAAGGGTCCTCCAAGAGTCCTGCCCTGGCCCTAAGCAAAACTTAAGTCCACAGCAGCACCACCAACGCCAAGACCCCAGGTCTATAGCCCTCTGGGGAGACCTGGCTTGGGGCACGCCCACCAGTTTGCCGAGCACCAGGAGAGGCTTGTGAAGACTGGACACCAGGACAAGAACAACAATGCACAGGGCAGCCAATGACAGACACCCCAGGACAGTGGAGAACACACTGGGCATCTCCTGTCACCCTGAAGAATGGGTGCATTCAGCACCAGGGCAGAAGGCAGGGGGCTGGGGACAGCCAAGGTGCCTAGAAACAAGTCTGGGAGAGGACAGAAAGCCGCAGGGACTCTGAGCACCAGGACAGGCTCTGCTACATGGCTTGGTCCCCAACACCGACCGACAGATGCCACTGGGGAACTGGCCCAGATGTGATGGGTGCAGGAAGCACCTGCAGAGGATGAGCCGCAGACACAAAGGGGACAAGACCCAGCTGGACAGCAGAGTCGAGAGCTAGGGGAGGTGCAGGCCACCACGAATGCCTGGACACAGGGCAAGCCAGCGGAGGACATGTCACTGGGGCCTCTGCCCTGGCGCTCTTTCACTTGTGGGTGTAGGGAAGTAGCGAGGTGCTTGGCGAGCACCCACACATGAGCTGGGTGAAGTGGGGCTACAGCCCAGCCTTTCCAGGGCTTTGTTTCCTCATCTGTAAAATGGAGAGGACAAAGGGGGGGGGCAAAAGCTGAGGGTTACCTGCCCCGTGGGCTCAGGGCCCGTCATCAGCAGACATGGCAGCTGCTCCCGTCTGGAAAGGGCACCTTGTGGTGGGGAAATCACGGGCCAATGGGGGCTCTGGGAGGACTTCAGAGAAGTGGCCACTTTCTGGGTGCCCCAGCTGGGACCGATGTGCACAGCACCATCAAGACCGTTCCCTCCATACTCTCCGCAGGGCCACCTCCTGCTCTCTCATCTCTGTGCTGAGCCAGCAAACAGCCTTGCCAAGTCACCTTCCAAAAACAGCTCTCCTTGCACACACCCCCAAAGCCCGAGCCTGCCAGGGCCAATGAGTCCCCGCTGTAGTGGCGGGAGGGAGAAGGGTACAGATGCTTGCCAGAAGGCTCCTGTTCTGAAATGGTGACAGCAGCCAGTTTGCGACCCCTAGATGAAACACTGTTCCGTGAGTACATCTCAGGGCATCCCAGGAAGGACTAGCCCTTCACCTGCTTCCAGTGCTATGCTTTGGCCCTGTTATCTGTGGGCGTGAAGGGACTTCTGGGCCCTGACTTGGCTGCCACCCCATCAGCTTGCCCTGCAGCAGACCAAGGCCCCAAGATGCTTGGCCAGGAAGGGGGCAGGATGCCTGGGAAGTAGAGCACAAGGCATGGGAGGACACCACACCACAAGCAAACCTTGCTTCCTGCAGCTGTGCTGAACATGGGAGGAAGCTCAGGCTCTGCAGCCCCTATTCCCGAGGAACCTGCGCTGGGAAGCTCTGCAACTCCCTTGGGTCTAAAACAACCGGCTCGGTCAGGCTGGACCTCCGGGAGACTTCGATGGGGGCGACCCCTTGGGTCAGGAGCTCCCACAGCCTCCCTGGGAACTGCAGTATTAATCAGCCCCCTCCACACTGCTGCTTGGAGAAGCGGGGCATGGTGGTGGTTAAGATTTGCCTCCCGCGCTGCCCAGGGTCAAGCTGCAGCTCAGCCTCTGGCTGCTGGACCTGAGATCCGAGCTTGGGCTGCCCCTGCTTTCCCTAGGATATTCTCAGCCACCTTCCTCGTCCCCAAGGAAGTGGGTCGAGTAGGAAGCAGCTGGCTACACCCTGGACCTTGCTGAAGTAAGAGGCCCTCCCACTTTTACGTCAGCTGTAAAGGCAGGGTCTGCAATGACCTATGTTCCCGTCCCCGCCCACCTTCCACATCTCTTCTATAGCTTAGGTGGGAGATGGTCTAGGGACATGGACAGCGGCTGCTCCCGGTCCACCGCGCGGCTCCTAACCGATGACAATCATTCAGCTTGCGGTCTCCCGCCTACTCGGACAGGAGCGCATCCAGATCCATCGCGTGCACAGCAGCAAGGCCGGTTACCGTCGCCCCACCCAGCGTGCTGCCGGGCCCAGGAGCCCAGGGCCCGCGCCCACCAGGGGGAAGCGGCGGGAGGAGGA